GTAAAACGCGTTTGATGTTTTTGGGTGGTTTAGTCCATCAGATTCTATGATTCGACGGATGAGATGATTTAGTTCTTCACTCTCTCGTCTTCTTATAGGGGTAGTAGATTGAAGAAGTCATTTTATCTTCTCTCGTGAAAATCATTGAGTTGCATAAAGTTTCAAATTTGAAATATTTTCAGATGGAATTCAAATCTTTTCAAACCCTTTTCATTTCAAATGGAAGAGGTCATATCATCTTCACTTTAGGGTTTTGTGATGAAATGAGTTTGAATTCATGGACATCAAATTGCAAAGATGAAAGTTTTGGGAAAGCCCTTTTATTCGCTCTCATTCAATTTTCAAAGAGTTTCAAATTCCACTCAATTTCAATCAATCAATCACCCAAACAATCAAACAACAATCATAGTTATTTATTTAATATAACATTCCAAAAATTTAGAATTTTGGGATGTTACATGCATACTCTTTTGCCCAAGTCTGGAGATGACACGATGATACGTGACCACTCCATCAACCTGATCCATTTGTTTGACACCCCTCAAAAGTTCAAAGTCATGAGTTTGATTGTTGAGATGGTCAAGAGGATAACTGCTGACCAGAAAAGATCTTGTGGATATGCTCCACACATTCAGATGCTTATCTACTCCAAGGTTGGAACGAGCACATATCTACTTGATCGTGAGCATCTCCCTCTTTAGCCTGAGTTTGAGGATAATGTGGTGGTGAAGGATCCTTCACACCCCACATCGGTTGAGGCTCAAGAGAAGATCTAGGCAGAAGCAGTAGTAAAAGCAGCTCAAGAGGCCACAACTCCCAGTGCTCCAATAGCCAACCTCAAGTCAAAGAATGACCAGATGACATATCTTCTAGAGGCAACCCTGAGGATGTTGGGGAACGTTGCATGGAAAACAAAAAAAATCTACGCACACGCAAGATCTATTCATGGAGATGCATAGCTATGATAGGGGAGAGTATGTCTATGTACCCTCGTAGACCGTTTAGCGGAAGCATTTATCAAAGCGGTTGATGTAGAAATACACCTTCATGATCCGCCCGATCAAGTACCAAACGTACGACACCTCCAAGTTCAGCACACGTTCAACTTGATGACGTCCTCGCCTTCTTAATCCAACAAGACGGGCGAAGTAGTAGATGAGTTCCGGCAGCACGATGGCGTGGTGACGGTGGTGATGTAACTATCTCTATAGGGCTTCACTGAGCACTACGAAAATATGACAAAGGATGAACTAGAGAGAGAGGGGCACCGCACACGGCTTGGGGATCGTGGTGTGTGTTGCCCCTCTCCCTCCACACATATATATAGGTGGGGGAGGAGGGGAGGTAGCCTAGGGCTCCCCCAAGGGGTCAGCGGTCACTTTGGGCTCCTGCCATGGCCGCGCCCCCTTCCTTCTTGGGCGCGCGAGGGGAAGGCAGGAGGGGGTGCCCCCCTCTCCTTTCTCTTAGGTGGACGGAAGGCAGGAGGGGCTAGCCCTCCCCCCTTTCCTTCCATAGGGCCGGCGGCCTAGAGGTGGGGCGCGCCAGCCCCTTGTGGGCCGGTGTGCTCCCCTCATTTGGCCCATATGGCCCAATAACCTCCTGGGGCCTCCTGGAACCCCTTCTCACGATCAGATGACTACCCATACATTTCGAAACATTTCCGGTGACCAAATAACATCGTCCTATATATCAATCTTTACCTACAGAGCATTCCGGAGCTCCTCTTCATGTCCGTGATCTCATCTGGGATTCCGAACAACATTCGGTCATCAACTCACGTAACTCATATAATACTATATCGTTAACGAACATTAGGCGTGCGGACCCTACGGGTTCGAGAACGATGTAGAAATGACCGAGACACCTCTTTGATCAATAACCAATAGCGGAACCTCAATGCCCATATTGGTTCCTACATATTCTACGAAGATCTTTATCGGTCGAACCTTTATGACAACATACATAATTCACTTTGTTTGTCAGTATGTTACTTGCCAGAGATTCAATCGTCGGTATTTTCATACCTAGTTCAATCTGATTACCGGCATGTCTCTTTACTCGTTCCGTAATACATCATCTCATAACTAACACCTTAGTCACTTTGCTTGCAAGCTTCTTGTGATTTGTATTACCGAGAGGGCCCATAGATACCTCTTTGATACACGGAGTGACAAATCCCAATCTCGATCCATGCCAACTCAAAAGACACCATCGGAGATACCTGTAGAGCATCTTTATGATCACCCACTTATGTTGTGATGTTTGATATCAGACAAGGTATTCTTCCGGTATCCGGGAGTTGCATGATCTCATGGTTGAAGGAATATGTATTTGACATTAAGAAAGCAATAGCAATAAACTGAATGATCATATATGCTAAGATAATGGATGGGTCTTGTCCATCACATCATTCTCCTAATGATGTGATCCAGTTATCAAGTGACAACACATGCCCATGATTAGGAAACCTTAACCATCTTTTATCAACGAGCTAGTCTAGTAGAGGCTTACTAGGGACACAATATTTGTTTATGTACCCATAGATGTATTTAAGTTTCCGATCAATACAATTCTAGCATGAATAATAAACCTTTATTATGAATAAAGAAATACAATAATAACAACTTTATTATTGCCTCTAGGGCATATTTCCATCAGTCTCCCTCTTGCACTAGAGTCAATAATCTAGATTACATTGTAATGAATCTAACACCCATGGGGCCTTGGTGTTGATCATGTTTTGCTCGCAGAAGAGGTTTAGTCAACAGGTCTGCAACATTTAGATCCCTATGTACTTTGCAAATTTCTATGTCTCCATCCTTAATCTTTTCACAAATGGAGTTGAAGCATCTCTTGATGTGTTTGTTTCTCTTGTGAAACCTAGATTCCTTCGCTAAGGCAATTGCTCCAGTGTTGTCACAAAAGAATTTCATTGGACCCGATGCACTAGGTATTACACCCAGATCGGATATGAACTCCTCCATCTAGACTGCTTCATGTGCTGCTTCCGAAGCAGCTATGTACTCCGCTTCACATGTAGATCCCGCCACGACGCTCTGCTTGGAACTGCACCAACTAATAGCTCCACCATTCAATATAAATACGTATCTGGTTTTTGACTTAGAGTCATCCGGATCAGTGTCGAAGCTAGCATTGACGTAACCTTTTACGACAAGCTCTTCATCACCTCAATAAACGAGAAACATATCCTTGGTCCTTTTCAGGTACTTCAGGATGTTCTTGACCGCTGTCCAGTGATCCACTCCCGGATTACTTTGGTACCTCCCTGCCAAACTTATGGCAAGGCACACATCAGGTCTGGCACACAACATGGAATACATTATAGAGCCTATGGCTAAGGCATAGGGAATGACTTTCATTCTCTCTCTATCTTCTGTCGTGGTCGGGCTTTGAGTCTGACTCAATTTCGCACCTTGCAACACAGGCAAGAACCCTTTCTTTGACTGGTCCATTTTGAACTTCTTCAGAACTTTGTCAAGGTATGTGCTTTGTGAAAGTCCTATTAAGTGTCTTGATATATCCCTATAGATCTTTATGCCCAATATATAAGAAGCTTCACCGAGGTCTTTCTTGAAAAATTCTTATTCAAGTATCTTTTTATGCTATCCAGAAATTCTATATCATTTCCAATCAACAATATGTCATGCACATATAATATCAGAAATGCTGCAGAGCTCCCACTCACTATCTTGTAAATACATGCTTCACCGCAAGTCTGTATAAAACCATATGCTTTGATCACCTCATCAAAGTGTATATTCCAACTCCGAGATGCTTGCACCAGTCCATAGATGGATCGCTGGAGCTTGCACACTTTGTTAGCACCTTTAGGATCGACAAAACCTTCTAGTTGCATCATATACAACTCCATTTGCCAGATTTATAATCATAAAATGCGGTAATTGCTAACATGATTCGGACAGACTTAAGCATCGCTACAGGTGAGAAAGTTTCATCGTAGTCAACCCCTTAAACTTGTCGAAAACCTTTTGCAACGAGTCGAGCTTTGTAGGCAGTGACATTACCATCAGTGTCCAACTTCTTCTTAAAGATCCATTTATTCTCAATGGCTTGTTGATCATCGGGCAAGTCCACCAAAGTCCACACTTTGTTCTCATACATGGATCCTATATCAGATTTCATGGCCTCAAGTCATTTATCGGAATCTGGGCTCATCATAGGTTCTTCATAGTTTGTAGGTTCGGCGTGGTCTAATAACATGACTTCTAGGACAGGATTACTATACCACCTTGGTGCGGAACGTGTTCTAGTCGACCTACGTTGTCTAGTAGTAACTTGATCAGAAGTTTCATGATCATCATCATTAGCTTCCTCTCTAGTTGGTGTAGGCATCACGTGATCGGTTTTCTCTGAGGTGCTACTTTCCAATTCGAGATAAGGTACAATTACCTCACCAAGTTCTACTTTCCTCCCACTCACTTTTTTGGAGAGAAACTCCTTCTCTAGAAAGGACCCATTCTTGGCAACAAAAATCTTGCCTTCGGATCTACGGTACAAGGTGTACCC